CCCCCCCCCCCCCCCCCCCCCCACAAAACAAACACCAACAAAAAACCACACAAAAAAAAAAAGAAATTTAGAAATTTTAAAAATATTTCCTTTTAAAATTAAGAAATTAAAACTTTGGTAAAATAATACAAAAATATAAATTATGAACTACAATTTGATACCAACTTTATTGAGATAATTGATAATAAAGTTGTTAATTATGTTTTGAATGTAATTCTGTAAAAAGTTGTGACGTATACTTTGAATCAGCTTTTATAGTTTTAATATAAAGTTATATTAGCTTAGTAACTAGTATGCATTTAAAGATCCACTGTACATCTGTTCAATTTCTTTAGATTTGACAACTATTTTTAATAGGCAGTAAAATCTTGACTGAAGTAGCCAGGAGTTTTTAACTTCTAGGTTTAGTATATCAAAAACCTTTAAAAACAAATATTTTATTACCTTTTATACTCTTAGGTAATTCAAACTGTCCAAAGGTCTCCTCATTTCTATCACATGCCTGTAAACCTTCAAGTCGTTTTTCCCAAAAGAGCTATTTTAGAAAGACATGAAACATGCTATAACAACATTCTTTGTTAACTGCAAAAAAGACAATATGTCAAAACAGCATCGCTCCCTATTTACTTCTAAGATTATAATTATTTATTTAATAAAAAAGTATATTTATCATGAAAAATGTGAACTACAGATATGTTCGTTATCATGAAAATTATATCTTTGTTCAAGTAAAAGACCAGTTGACTATATAACTTTCATCAGTTTTCATTGATTAAATTAAAACAACCATATTTTAGGAGTTAACAATAATTGCAATTCACTCTGAACATTACAAAACTGATAAGACACTTGAACAGTTAAGATGAGTGGGAAAATTATATTTTTCATTGTATTCTTTTAAAATTTCATAAATACATGTATATAAGTAAAATGTGTTATAATCGTTGACTAAGATAAGTAAGTACTATGTTTTTTTTATAACTTAATGAACAATAACTATTTAAATAAACATCCTATGCTTGCAAATACTGCTCCCAAACCACATACTTGTCTCGGCTTTTCCTGAGGGCCATGCTTGAAGTCATTGCGAACTTTGCTCTCTTGCGACTTCAAAACAGTTACTGGCTGTTTGAAAATTGATGCAGTCTGTCGAATAGGGGGTACGAGTGAAGCATCATTACGAATTCCTCTGCTGTAATCAAATTGCATTCCACGCTGCCTTTTACTTTTTCTAAGAAGCATTGAATTGATTTTGCCAGTACGGTAGTCAAATGTACTAAGGTCCACAACATCTCCTAAATATCGAGCAAGCTGGGGTTTACTATGAAACTTTTTGCCTGTTGGACTGCAATACAAAAGACATCAAACTTATGTTACTTATTTCCAACAACTGTGCACTTCTTAGATTTGTTTTTATAAGTCATAAAATAATTCAAATATATATATATATATCATAACAAATGTTAAATATGGCACAACATTCTATAATGCTGTAAACTGATCAATAAATTTCTGGGACTAGAATATTAAAATCCTCTGTCTCCACTTTATTATTTTATTAGAATAAGTTTTTAGTTCTTCAGAATATTTTTAGTAACAATATAAGATGTGAATAGTAACCTCCAATTTAGTTAAAAACTTAGTCAAAATGATCCCATTAAATACATTCTTCATTTGATAAGTTTAAACATACTGCAATATCTATTCTAAATATCAATCATGGAAAAGGAGACTGTCATCATCCAGAACTTAATATCTAACTCAATTATAAAATGCCTCTCAGTAGGTTATAAGGATATGTATGAGCTAATATCTCATTAGGTCTAAGTCATCATTTCAGAAAAAACTAAAGGCTGTAAAGCAGGTTCTATGAAACTTTCATTTAAATTTTTTACTTCATAAAAAGTATAGTTTATTTCTCTGAAAGTACTTTACTCATTGCCCTTGGTTTTATAAGTTAACTACACTTTATAAGAATGATCTTCAAAGTCCCATGATGCCCTTGAAACTACTTCCTCCATTATGTATTGTGCTCAGTCTGATGGCCATGATAATATATTATTACCTGATACCACAACTTCTATTGTTTCAAGTTCTTCAAAGGTGAGGTGAACCTTACAACAGTGGTTACCAACTGGCAGTCTGTGGACAGTCTACAGGGAGCTTTCATCTAGTCCACAAGACAGTGGAAATATAAAATATATATGTAATGTAAAGGTATTTTATAAAGTTAATATTGTATTAGGCGGTCTGTGAAATGTTAAGATCAGAACTAGCTGGTCCTCAGGTACCATATACTACACAATTTGACAGACTTTAAGGGACTATTGCAATTCCAGTTTTGTTCATCATCTTTGTCATTAAAACAATAGCTGATTTTGAGATGTCAAATGAAAGTTTGTGAACTTGTAAGCCTTCATCAATTTCAAATCCTTATTAGTTTTCTTAAGAGTACCATATGTGCCCAGCATAATCACAATGGAGTTTTGAGTCAAAGGGTTGTCTTTTGTAACTGCAGCCTTCATTTTGCAGATGAGGATGTTGCTCCAAATTGGTTTTCAAAACCCATAAGTACTTCACTGTGCAAGTTTTTCTGCTTCCACAGAGAACAATGAAGGCCTTTGGTTCTACATTGTTTAACAGTCTCATTATATGAATACTTCTCTTTGAAAAAATATTTTACACCCTTCTTGCTGTAAGTATATTCTTTGTGTCACTATGAAATTATCATGAAATAGATGTACAGTAATACCTTGATATGCATATATCTGATAAACAAAGTTTCGGTATAACAAACTTTGGATTTTTACAATTATTTTAAACAGAAAGCTAAAAATAAAGTAAAATAATAAATAAATAAATACACTAAAATGAATAAATAAGTAATAAATATATTTATCTGCAATACAAGATAAATAAGAATACAATTATAATAAAAATGAATAAAAACCCTATAACCCGAGCACTTTCAAAGGTGGACCTTTCTTCTTCAGAGTAAACTGGAAATGGTGGTGTAATCAAATAAGTGATATATATATATATATATCAATCAGTTTAGTGACATTATGAAGTTCATTTGGTTTTCCAAAAAATGTTTAGTCTATTTCTCTATGTACTGTTGTAAGTGTCCCATTTCCGGTACAATGTAGCCGATGGCAAGAGTATACGTGAAAAGGTGTTAGGGATATTTTACTTTAGAAATGACTAAATATATGTATATTTAAAACTATACTTAGGTGTTTAATTTCATCCTGATCCACTCAATTCATTCTCCCTAGCAGTTTAAGAAATATTTTTGTCAATTTACAAATATCATATTTTTTTTTAATTCCCAAGATTAGTCAACAAAAGCTCCACTGGTCCCTCAAGGAAAAGTAGCTGAAGCTGAGCCTGATACCAATATCATTTATTAGAGAGATATGATTTTTTTCCTTATAAAGACAATCCTCTTTCATATCTATATGTATATACATATAAGTATGTGTGTATAGTAAAAATACAATTACATCTTGCCTATTGAAGTGCATATAGATATACCTAGATTTCTAATAGTTGGGGTATGAAATAAAAATTTGTTGTACAACCAAAAAAATATAAAATCAACTTTTTCATAAAGTAAACTCAAACTTAACCTAACTAGTCAGTATTCCTACTACTCAGTACTAGTCTAATATTATGAATTATAGCAGTGATTCCCAACCTTTTCACCACCAAGGATCGATTTATTATTTTTCCCCCACGAAACCCATGTTTTTGAAAGATTCTATCTACCCAACATACTTAGCCAGAAAATTTGTGACAGGTATAGAACAGTCTCAGCTTTTTACATGTTATTATTCTGTGTGCTTCTGTGCATTATGTAATTAAATAAAATAGTTCACGAACCTCCAGGTTGGGAACCACTGAACTAGACCATGGTGTACCTTAACTGTAGCTTACACTCAAAGTAACCAAAATTACTGCAATTGAATACCTATGCAAGAATGTGTGTGGCACACGCTATTGGTATCACACTGTAGATGCAGATTAGTATTCAATAATAATGAACAAATTTTTTCCATCTATAATAGCCTTAAAGTTAAATACAAAATGGTTAATTCAATGCCAGTATAATTTATTCATTGGCATTTATTACTTTCTAACACTATACACACTTTGAAGTTAATAATCTCCTACTCGATTATAAATTATTTTCTGCAACACAAATTTCATACTGTAAAATGTAATTTGTATTCCAATTCACATTCAAACATCTCAAGTCTAATTATTAATATCATACAATTATTTTAAGCTTAACGTTGTGATTAATAATTCATTATAATTTAACAGACTCGAGCACAAGCCATGGATTTTCAGACTTCTACTTTAATTTATATTGCTTTGTCTACGTTATAATTTATAGTAAATCGGTATGAATAAATTTACCGGAATATCAAATGACAAGGTACGCCAATCATTTTGTACGCTGTAACTTGTAGGGGTAATTTTACACAACATCGTTCCTTACTAAAACAGTACTAAGTGAATAATTTACTTTAAATTTTAATTTATGCCTGCTACTTTAAACCCTCACCTATAATAGTAGACGTCAATTTTTCCTGCTGAAATTCCTGTTTTCCTGATTACTTCTTCTCGTTTCCATCCATTAGGCAAAGCAGAACACTCCATCTTTCACTAATCTACTCTATCCAAGAGCTAAATCTAGGCCTAACTGTAATAGTACAATTTATTTACAGAAAATGCCCTCTGATGGAATAGTTTTAAATATTTGCAGGAAAATACTAGAAAGTGAAACAATAAAATTGAAAGCTTAAAACCACTTATGCAGAAGATTACCTCACACAGTTACACAACTGTTTTATTCGCAATGATATTTAACAAAAATAGTACTAAATTCCTCTCTCTCTCTCTTTTTCTATATATGTATATATATATATATATATATATATATATT